ATGTTAGGTATGTAAAAAAAAATTCGAATTTTTGCAGATCGCCATTCGCTAAGATCAAAAAGCGGCAAAGCAATTTACGAAATTTGCGCCGTGAAAGGCAGGATCCGTGCAGCTGAAAAGATGACTTCACGTTGGTCTGCTGAATTCCAGGGTTGCGTATTGGGCCGGATCTCACTCGGTCGGTCTTCCGAGTTTCTCCACCATCGAGTGGATCAAGTAGCTGTTCTTTGTCATAATATTACTGACGGTTTTAGTTCACTTACGGAATGCTTCCATACAGATAAAAACGTTTAACAGAAGGTGAAATAGTAACACTTGCTTGGCATTTAAATTAGCAACAATTTGCAGTTAGGGAAAATTACCGAGTTGAACATGGCTAGATGATAAATTAAAATGCAAAACTTAGATTATTTGAAATGAGCATTTTAACTTATTTTTCAATTTCATTATTCTTTTAGTACCGAAAGAATTATCTCATATACAAGACAACTTTCTATTTGAGCGACGTATATTCGCGATATTTTTTAACTAAACAAATGAGTAGGATTCGATTTTTTTCTTAACATTACTTGAATCACAGTTCAAACAAATCCTATCTATCTGCAGTAGGACATATTAAATAACTTCGTGGTCCATAAACCTGTACTCCGTGTCTGTGTTATCGGCCCTTTTCTATCACGTGCTTTGCATGCGTATACATTTCTCGAACCGTTTCCGCATTCGTTCTTAGCCATTAGTTAGGTATTTGTGCAGTGTTATAAAAAGTTACGAGGTTCTATAGGAAATGTAACTCTCCGTGCAACTTGTTTTCATTTTTTTTTCGCTCTGTAGATCAATACTCAGAAAGTTATATTTGTTTTAAAATACAAATTACAGAAAAATAATTAAAAAACATTTTGTACGCCATTCAAATATTGAGTAGCCGACGCGATTTTAGTCCGCGTTCGGCATCCTGTAGATTCTCTCCTTAGAACGCCCTGAAGTAACTGTGTTCATCCGACGTATATCACGTTACGAGGCTATTAACAAAGGCAAGTTCTCAAAAAAAAACTGATGTACCATATTGAGCCGCTGTAAATATCATTTGAAGCTTTAAGAAACTTAAACACGTTACTACGTGCAAAGGTATACGTTATAGCGATTTTAGTGTTCATTCTCGCGCTTAAGTATGGGTCAAACCCCATTAGTTGTATTGCGCATGTATCCGTTGGCACATGGTAGCATTGCTCCCATTTGTTTGCCAATGAACTATCTGATTATCTTCCGCCTAGCCACGGTCAAACAGCTTTCGCTGTAATACATATATATCACCGATAAGAATTATTCATGTGATCACCAAGCTGCATGAAATATTTTTCATTGATAATCGACTATGACCTCGTTTTTTAGAATCATAAGTTCCTTTTAATTGGCATCCTAGCCTAAATTCCAAATTTGTTTTTGGTGACTAGTTTAATAAAAAAAAAATGCTTGTTATTAGTTTGTTTTCTGTTCTAAGTGCTTGGACTACTGCTTAATATCCAATGACGGCCACAACAAGTCCATCCATTAGTTAAGCTTCGTACTGTCTTTAAACAATAAATAATTATTCGACGATAGTTATTCTTATTCGCTAGCTTCAGTAAAATTTCGTAATAATGCTAACTTTGCATCGATAACAATGTAGCAAAAGATCCTGCCGCGCAGCAGTGAACATTTAATTATCTCTAGTTTATCGATATACCTTATCCGTACCTCGCATAAACTTATACGCTTTTTTTCGCTTTGCAAGATAACAAGGTCCGTTGTAGGAAGCACCGAGTTACTCACTATTCACATTCTTCCCATTTCCTAATAGCCGACTTCCCACCACGAACGTTCCCATAACGAACATACATCCACAGACTATCACAACAGAAATTGAACAGAGTTTACTCAAAAACACTAAGAACTTATGTTTACTATGTAACAAAAGTACGTTAGTGTGATGCACTTTTTCCCATGAAGAACAAAGATCAATTAGTATTCGATGGGCACAGAATTTTGGGCGTCGAAAACCATCAGTGGATGGTTGCCGTCGACGGTTACTCAAAGCTGGGCGGATGACTTACGCCGATACGCGTACAAAGTTTGGCGCTCGTTGAATAAAGGCGTTTGTAGCTATCGTTGGAAAATTGAAATTAACAAACGAAATGCAGGGTAGGAAAGGTACAAGATGAATGAGCAAGAACAGATGTGTGTTTCGCTTTGCAATACTTTAGACTAATTTATTATCGACTGGATTCTTGAAATTCTTGAATGAAGAAAAAAAACAAATAAGTCGAAAATAAATTACCTTTTCATGTGTCTATGTGATATCAGCTAATATCAAATGTTACTCAAAGGTATACCCATTAATATCACAAGAAATGATACTATCTTCAGAACGCTATTCTTTGAGGTAGTAGTGGAAAGGATTTCCACAGTATGAGTAGTTTCAGCGTGATTAAACTCGTCTAAACCCTCAAGTTCAAAGCCCTTCTTTGCTTATCGCTTGTTATTATTTATATTTTCTTGAGGATTTAGAATGTGTGCCGACCATCTCTCTCCGATAAATAGAAAAATGAACAATTTTCAAGAAAAGATGTTCCTTCCGAAAGAAGCAGGCCTACCACCTCCTGTCGTAGTCGCTAAGTCAGGTAGTACGGATCCGACAAGCGCATGCGTGAGATCTACTTAGAAATTATCTGATATAATACGATTTTGTTATTCACAACTCTCAACTTCTTGTAGGAATGTTATAAAATGATCACACACGGTAGGCGATTATTCAAAGAGCAAATAGTTACAACAACACGTTAGATACCCCGCTGCTCGATCGTCCGCTCACAGAAAAAAGCCCCACATGGAGGCACACTATTTAATTCAACTTTAAGTCTAAACATACTTTAGTCATGTGTACCTGAAGTGTTTAATATTAAGTTGTTTTCGATGACTAGTAAAGTTTCACAGTCAGCGAGAAACAGCTTTTAACTCAACAGCCACTTTGGGTTCTAATCTATCGAAGCGGACTATACTCAAACTATGCTTCAACTTTCTATCAAAATTGATTGAGCAAGGACGTTTGAGGCACGTAGAGTTAACCTACAAATTCAAGGGCGCCCGCTAATTACGAAAATCAAATATCGTTACTAGCGTGTCACCCCAAAGCGGTACAGGAAGCTAAACCTTTTTCTCAACCCAACTCGAGACCTCCCCGATTCTATAGCGATAATTTAGATGGCGGTATGATTAAAGACTGAGCTGATGAATTGCATGGTATAAAAGGAATGTGATTAGTGATCATGAAGTAATGAGCAACTTGCACAAGAAAAAAAAGCGTGCCCGCGGTTATAATCAAAATGGTGCCTATGCTTAATTTTCTAAACATCACATGACCAGTCATTTTAACAGAGGAACAATCAAAACGTTTAGAATCAGCCTTCCCTGAAACTGCAATAGGCAATGCTTAGTGGATTACATCTATATTTATTATGATATACTACATCTTTGTCATGCTCCCGTGTGCGTATTTATTTATATTCCTTAATTAATAACAACAGCATAATAAATATTGTGCATAAGGGAAGATGGAACGATATGGGACAATAACTCTAACGGAGAAACTTGAATATTATCAAACTATTACAGTTCTAGAGATGCGAACGGATCAGAGATTTACTTCAATTTATTGACCTTTTCTTTAGTTAGGTTTTAATATACGGAGCTAAGTATTCTATTCTCATTCCATCAAACCTTTACTACCTAATAAAGAAACAATTACCGCGGCCTTGCCTGTAGCAAAGTTACATTTTCAAAAGCCAAGCTAAAAGGAAGTTACATTCTGATTACATGCTTAGGTATATAATAAATGTATGGGTTAGGATGAGGATTATTGAATTTTGAGCATACATTAAATTGGACGCCGCCGACACTGATTCTATAGAAAAATTCGAAGGGACCTTAGACTACAACTCAGCTTATTATGAATGTGTGAATATGTTGAGTTTAACTAAGCCATCATACTCATTGGAGTATGGGCCGTTTTTTGTAAACAACGAATCTTACGTGATTGCTTTTGAACGAAGGTAATTGACGTAAAACAATATTTTTGATATCTGCACCATAGTGCCGATAATCAACGTCATGCATCAGAATCTATTAAAGATAATTATTTATATCGGAGTTATACACAATCATGATAGCAATACAGGTCTCATTGCGGTTGAGTTGGCTCTATAAAACGGTGCGTGCTCTATTATTGTTCCCCCTCATATCTTGAACAAAATGCAAATCATTAATGTACTAGCATTTGGGCCGTTCAAAACCCTCCACTATGCGTAGTGAAAATGTATTTGGACCTATGATAGACAGATCATAAACCTTAACTAACCTAACTTGGCAGTAAATAATTATAAAGCATTATTATTTTTAATCAAAGCCACAATCATTGCTACGCAGAAAAGCGTTTTTCCTTTAACCTTGTTAAAGTAATCGGACCAAACCGAGTTAGCTGCATCTTTAGCCCGTACAACCTGTCGATAGTCTATATAGCCCCGCTAGATGAGTATTTTCAATTGATATATTTTCGAGGAGACGTTGTGACCCAATTTAGGCCATATGACAGAAGAACTTTTGATATAGTGGCGTAATCTTTTCCCATTGGCTTCGGTCGTTTTTACCAATATCGCTTTCTGGCCCGTTTAAAAATTGTAATCTTAGATGAATAACGGCGTTATCTCTTTATTTATTTATATTTTATATATTTGTGTTTATTTAAATATAAACACTTCAGAAACTTGCCGTGCAAGCGACCCATTGCGATGGTGTTGGTTCATACGTATTTTACAGTCGTTCTGTACATTGTCAACGAAAAATTAACGAAGACAAGGTTTTAAAAAAGAATAATTCTTCAATATGAAGTCCATGATAGAAATAAATGATTAACCAAAATAAAATACAGGTCTACACTCTATTATGCCGTATTAAATACACTTAAGATATATATAAAAAAATCTTCCTAAAGGAAGTTGTTTAATTTCACTTCTTTATTTCATTATATCTTTTTTCTCAATTATATTTTCAGTGATTGAGATAAATTAGGTGAAAACTAGGCAGCTGTCAGTGCATTTTTCAAAAACATGGTCCCTCGGATACTGCGCCATTTCTTCTACGCTAGGTACGGCAAGTTTGCACGAGCTCGAGATGACGCTTGACCAGAATGACGGCGATTCTATTGGCTCGTTAGCGTAAAAAAAAGAGCCCCAATTTGAGGACCAGCCCGGCATTTTTTCAAGTTCGATCTCCTCGACAATTCCAATTGTATCACAACAATCGTATTTTGTAGGCACGTATATATCGTCCACAAGACTGTCCCCTAAAATTAGCGCACACGGTTAAATTATTATTATTATTCATGGTAAGTTCATAATGCAAATACATAAGCTCAGAAAATTTGGTTACTTTGATGTGCGATTGCTTTGTAATAGTGGAAGCTGGGGAGATTTTTATGATGATTAAGCTTACCAACGTAAACCATTTTTGGTTGGTCCTTTCCGGTCAGTTGCTTAAGCAATTGGTTGAGTTTATTACAGCTCCCCTGTGCGTAAACGGTTTTGTCCTTCAGAGAGCCTATCATGTCACCTTCGCGATTATTTTTCACCGTGTAGAACATTCGCTCAGGCTGTGTCCAGAAGCCTGGCTTCCGCGCCCACGTTACAACCGAGTCAAAATAATCCATCCAGTTATTGCCTAATAACAACAAACAAAGTCATCCGAGTCAAAATAATCCATCCAGTTATTGCCTAATAACAACAAACAAAGTCATAATTCGATTAGATGAACTGTACACATATCGCTAAGTACAATATTTCTTATTCGCAGCTCTATTTGTGTGCGAATTCGAATGGCCGCTATCTCAGAACCTAACACATGCCTGATAACGATGTCCTGCTTATTCCTAACGAATTTCTTTACCTATATTTCGAGTGAATTCATTCATCATGCACAAAGGTTAAAGAATATTAACTTCACTCGTGTTACATTCTGCAAAACGCGGCGAAAACTTAACGAAGATTATACATTTTTTTTTTCTAATATCGCTCTATTCGATAGACTTTTATTCACAGTATAGTAAAAAATATGAGTCGTTCGTAGCCAACGGTTGACTTTACTTACCGATGCAATACCTCAGCATCATTTCGGCGTAATCAGCATTGCTCGATGTAATTACGACAATTTTCATTCCGTCGAAGCGAAGTTGTTTTAACCATTCGAGCATTTTGGGCGTACACTGGTAAAGCATCTTCGACGTATTTGTCTTCACCTCTGGAAAAAAATAACCTGTATGCTCCTGCCAAAGCAAAACCACGAAAAGTAACACATACACAGACGATTAGCTTCGTCCATGGCTTATAGACTTGACATATTATAATAACAACGAAATAGGGTTCCCACTTAGCCTGTATATTTGGTCAAAACTTATTATTACATAGTAGGACAAAAAAATTTAATAGTTGAAAGTAGCTGCAAAAAAAATTCAAAAACATTTCAAGGCAAGCACAGAATTTTGAGTCGTTGTCGTGTAAACAAATAAAAGCTAATAATACGTTTCTTTTATTCCGAGCATTACAGGTACAATTCAGATCCTTGTTGAGGCACGCTTGCAGTTTAGAACATGCAACACTGTGTGCTAATATCATGGAAAACCCAATTTACTTGAAAGTTCTCCCTGGAATACATCTTACTGTATCCCTCAAAGAAATCGCGGTACGGTTTTGCATAGTCCTGACTTGCAATTTTTCCCGCATCCTTAGCGTCGACGATTTTCATTAACAAGTAGATTGTTCCAACCGTAAAATAGTCTCCGAAGCAGTGGAAGAAACGCGTTACTTTTTCGGAAGTTTCACCTAAAAAAGATACAGTTCCATATACCAGAAATCGAATTAAGACTCTTTAAGCAATAGTTTCAAACAAGCTCCTTAAATGATAATTACACAGATCTAGAGCCAACAAATTGTCGTTCAGACCATGCGTGTACTTTAAACCTTATGTTTTTATTTATTTATATTTATTATTTATCTAACTATATTTATTTAACTATGAAATATTAGCACACTTGTCTTTGTATCTCGTGATTGTCGCAAGTACACTTGCGCTCGAATTTGTTTTTTTTAATGTGAATTTCTAACATATGGGGCGTCAAAGTTGATCCTATAGCGATGCCTGCTGTGTTCCATAACGCAATGTATCAGTACCGTAAAAAAATCTTATTTTTTTTATTGAATTAACGGATAGAACGAGAAAGAACCTCAAATATTTTAAAAAACGTTACTTATTGAAAAGCTTACCTCTAATGAAGGGCATATGTTTTAGAGTTGCTGCCTCTTCTGACTCGGCCCCGTATATCTTCTGTATTGCCTCATTGCTGAGACGCTTCGTGCCGTGGTAGCAAAGTAGGATATTTCGGTCGACTCCAAGTTTGAGAAAGTTTCCTTTTTCTTTGTCATACAGGAGTCCCTTTTGGCAAAAGGCGAGTTGAGATTCATCGAAATCACTATGAGTAGAAATACAGCAAAAAACGACAAAGTGAATATGTATGAGCACACGAAAAATATATGATATACTTTCACTCTATTCGAGTAGAAATTTCGCTTATCATTGCAGCTGACAAAATAGGATTCGATATTTATTTGTTATATTCTTGAATACGCTGTGCGCCAAGCGACATCTCTTAGTCCTTAGCGCGCGGCCCATTACCAATGTCAATTCTATTCGAACTTCAAAATAACTTTGTGTTTACCGCACTTAGTGTAGTAAAAACACCGACCGAAAGGACATACAATGGGTACCGACCCTCATACGTGAAACAATAATTGTAAAGTAACAACGATAACCGCAACTAGTGCAACAAACATTTCTTCTTTCATTAAATATATTATTATAGGTTGACATGATAATCCCGGATTTTACTACTGCTAGCTCTCGTAACAGATGCACAAACCTAAAAATTTCCTTTGGATACCCGATGTCGATTAGATGCTTAACAATGGAGGTGTAACAGAGCCGATATAACGCAGGAAGTCGATATCGTGCGAGAGTGTGGTCGAGGTCAAAGCCAATTACATCGTAATCTTTCAATGTGAACCTGGAGCAAGCAAGCTTCGTATCGGTGTCCTGCGGTGGCATTTTGGAAAATGTTCTCCCCGAGGTCATTGTTGATACGAAGCGAAGTTGTGAGGGGACTGAAAAAAGCAAAAATTATGTTTTAAGTTATGCCATTATCCTTCTTACGGCTTATATAATAGCATAATATATATGCTATATATAATAGTTACTTAATTTGTTATACTTAACTTTGATGTCACTCATTCATTGTAAAATATGAGCGTCGTATTTAGTATAGATCATATTCATTCGACAACTTGAAGAAATTTAAATCTAGTACTTTGATCATTCATATATATTGATGAAATTTTGTCACTTGCCTACAACGGTTCCTATTGGAACAATCCGTCGGTGTTATTAGTAGTAATCAGCAGACTCATGTTCATTCACTTTAACCGGACTTGTTTCGTTTTACTAACACTGAGCTTTAACCACTGTGGGTTTTTCCGTACCGCGAAAGAGCTTAACTTAAGTGAACTACATCCAAACACGCACAATTTAGCTTCCTTCGCCCATTTCGAAAAGTTTTTGGTGATTAAGAGACCTGGACCACTCAAGCTGGATGGATACAGTTTCTCACCAACAAATCGAAGACACAACGATCATCAAAGAAGGATATTGCTCCTAGTAAAAACAATCTATCCTGATTTACGCTCAGGTTCACACTCCGTTTCATCATGATGGAGTCAAGACGTACGAACCCGGCAAATGGATACGTTAAACTACAGACATGCCCCTGCGAAGCACGATCTTGCCTTCTACCACTCTTCTGGCCCGGTACTGTTTCTCGGCCAATCTTGCGTCGCACAATTACAGAAATCAAAAGCCGTTTATTCACAACTGAATTCAATAGGCAATGATAGCTGATCTGGAGAACACATACAAAAGCCCTGAAGTTCATCGTTTATGTAACATCTATACAGTAGCCATGTCTTTAGACCTGATTCAGTTTAGTGAAAACTATAAAAACTATATTCTTTCGCCGTTCTAATGAACGGCCGGTCTCTCTGCTATCTGAAACTATAGCGCAACCGCGTGATTAGCTACTGGCTTAAAGTGCAAAATGCTACCAGAACGTGCCATATTTGATATCACCCTATTGGCTTTTTTAAGAGGACAGCTTACAGGCGCCATTACATAATCGTCAAATACATCTATCAAGTTTGGCTGCTGTAATTTGTAGCTAAATCTTTAGAATCAAATCAACTGTGCTCAGTGCCCTGATTTTTGATGTAGCTAACTAAAAGTGTCTTAAATCGCTGACATAAAAATTATAAAAGTGGTAAATAACCACTTTATCATTAATAGATGAAACAGTTAAAAACTGAAACGGCCGTGTGTATAGGCAAAAGTGTTTTGTTTTTATAACAAAAATTCCATTTTCCTTTAGCAGAGATGAAACATAAATTGCTGGTATCACTCGCATTATGTTACAACTATCATTTTGACTATCATCTACGTGCATAGCTATTGACGCCTGTAAATCTACCCAATAGACGGTTATCTCGTCTTTCCCACCTCGAGCGCTGAACCTATCAGGATATATATTGAGTGCAATCAACTGGTAAATGTAGATCTTTCGTAAGCAATAGATGCCATCCATTGCTAACTACGTAACTTACGTAATCTGCGCAGTGATTTTCTAGCGAAGATAAGCACATGACGATTTATATCGCGACCCAATTTGGCCTAACCGTTAAATTCGCCGCCGAATTGTATCAGCAACCGAAAATCTACTTCTGCTATACCCTATCGAAATTATCAATCCTCAAAAAATTGTATTGTTTTCACAAGACGTAGATCTTCGCTGGCATTCAATGAATGTGTGAGCCTGTAAAAAGAATCCAAAGGGTCACGTTAACCAATAGTGGTACGTTTGTTATTAAATGAGCCCATTATTTCATATGACCACATAATGAATTCATATAATTTCACATTTCCTAACCGATCCGCATTTTCATTTCTTTTAAAAAAGACACATCACCAAAAATAGTTGTACAATATTAGCTTTTAGTAATATATGTCCCCATATGTAAACAGTTTTCTTTATATACTGCGATTTTATCTACCGTTGCGCGTGATGACATTTAATATTCGACACCAAATTTTCCGTCACGAATCTGGAAAACACGAAAGACATGTTAGAGTTTCTTGTAGTCCGAAGGTGGCTGATTTAGACATCGTTTTAAAAATACTTTTCTTTTACATTGTACAGCTTATTTGTGGATCTTCCTCTCCTATGATAGTCTAAGAAATATGTCGTCTCGGTTATCATCACATGGTAGGTACGCAGTCGTAGTCGCTTTATTTGAGTAGCAGGCAATCGCTTCAACTATCAATTCTGACAAGTATACAGCATTTATACGTAACACTTGTATTAACTCCGCCCAAAGTACTAAGTGCAATGCGTTTTTTTTTGCAATGAATAAAAGGGTCACCCTTATCATTTTTGATTTTTTATTTAACTACGCCTAGTAGTGCCCTAATGAGGACTCAATCATACATATCGTATTATGGTTCGTCTATTTCGTTTTTCAGCGTATAATCTACGACGAATACTACTTTGTTAGCATTGTACCACTATTTACGTTTAACATTGTGTAACTGACGAGCTATTGTCATTTATAAGCATAATACAAGAAAATTCATCTGTTAAAAATAAGCGTGCTATCTAGACACGTACGTACCACACGAATGCATATAAATCTAGAGCACTGGAAAAAATTGGAAATTAAATCTTACAAACTCTACCTTTTCTGGCTATACTGCGTGAGAGGTGATATGTACGGCCAACACGCGTGATTGACCTTACATTTGTTGACTTTGAAATTATTACTGTATGTCAGCCGGCAGTCATCGCCGGGTGTACAAGCATGGCAAAGTAGAGTTGAAGCGGTGAGTCCCACGCTAAACCGTTTCTTTGTAAGCGGGACACCCGTCATATGTAATTGAGTTGTTCTGGGTTCTTTCCTTCACTCCTAAATGAAAGGGCAGTGCGCGCGTAGGTGACTTTCAGGCCAGTATGGAAAGAAATGGGAAAAGTTCTCGATCTCCCTAGAGAATCACCTCGAAAGAATGAGGGATTGGTGTGAGTAGCTAACGTGAATTTTTTGAATGCGTTACCTTGGTAACCTACAACTAACAACTATGCTGCAACGTTAATTCAGATCTTAGAGTTATTACTAATAAGGAAGATAGAGGATAAAAAGAGAATAAGAAATTAGGGAAGATAAAATATTACTATAAATGTTAACGGGTGTTGTCATCTGTTTCATGGGTCACTTGGAGAAATCCTAAATACGTTCAACCAGCGCCCACTGCAATCGATTTCCTATAGGGGCAGGTCCTTGATGCTATACCTAAAAAAAGTGTAGGTAACGTTACAGCAACCATAGACATTTGCCCAACTGAGCGCTAGCTAGTTCTCTCATACAATTTTAAATTACCTCTATAAATATATTATAAAATAAAAAATAAACCTCAAAACTCGGAAGCATTATCCTTAGAGCGGCTCCACTGCCATTTCCCGTTGTCACCGTGATGAACATACACTAGAGACGCCGAATGTTGCGAGATATTCCATACGATCTGATGGTAATGTTTTAAGGTGAGGCAAGAAGCGTATGTTTGACTGAACACTCCATGCAATAGATTGTGTTCGACAATCAGCTAGATTATCATCTGTTTGTTATTATATACACGCTTCAAATGAAAGCGGCCTTAAGAGTAATCTCTCTAAAAGTAAATATAAAAAACAACGATTTGAAGTAACTGTTTTAGATATGAAATAATTTAATTATAACGATGTTTTCTACCGTTCCTATGTACCTTATATCTGTGGTAGACACACTGCATCTGAATTTTCTCCATGCACAATTTATCGGTCATATGAAGACGAATTATTATTATCCATTTATTCCTTTATATTAAGAAGTATCGTATACCTCATAGGTACTACGGAATAATTTTCAAATAAGAAACTTTTGAATTGTCTGTTATATGTGTATATGCATAAGTAATTTTTGTCTCGTAAATAATATCATAAGTACCATTGTTTACGTGCAGAAACTAGCTGCTAATTCTATACACATATTTAATGTAAGTCGTGTCATGCGGAACAGGATACATTTATTCCATTAATAGCAGACGAATTTTTTTCGACGTAACAATGGTATTAATAAAGCATCGCGTACCGGCTGTAACAGTGACGTCCAGTTGATCTCCTTTAATACACATCAGACAAACGAGCAGAAATATAACTGCATAATAAAAAGTTTATCCAAGTAAAACGATACAATAAGTACGTTTTCATTTCGGGTCTTGCTCTGAAGTAACTAAAAGCCCCACTTCTAGTCCACCAGTATTTTTACCAACCCGATTGCTGCTCTCATACATCATCTGTGCGGCAAAAATTGTCGTGGCAATTCTCCATTACGCCGCCCTTAATAGGAAAAACACTTTTTTTCAAACACTTGAATATGAAGATGGTACGTTTATTTCGCCATACCATCGCTAAGTTCGTACCGCCGTCGGATCGTGAATAGGTAGGAGGGGGTTGCTGAGAGCTGCTCAGTTGTGTTTTCATCATTTTCGCTCTACGAGGCTCGATTGCTCAAAATCTCCAATTGTTAGTGTACTCGTCTTGAGTAACACTAGGATTAAGGAAGGATTGCCTCTTCAGCTGGAAACTATCAATTTATTCGACATTGCTAAGCAATGCCCTTCTTCTTCCTCTGTTATTCACAAGATTAGCTAGGCGAGCAGTTGGACTGATGTAATGTAAGCATTTTTTGTGTGACGTAATATTTGAATCTGTTCTGAAGCGAGGTTCGATAAGGATACAAAGGTCCAGAGTTACCAAGGCAAATATTTGAGCAATCAAGTCTACTTTGGATAATAAATTAGCCCTAAATTTCCTTGAAATTTTGAAGAAAATTAGAATTTTCACAGTGCTATGTGAAGTGGCGTCTGATACACGTAATGCATCCGTCTTTTATCTCTTCAAAAAAAAATATAGACATTCAGAAACGATACGTGATAGCAGTATTGGTCGACGCACTTGGAACATTTAGGACGGCCCTCTAGTCACAGACCTTTTAGGCAAGTCCTTTTTTGAATTAAGGGATAATGGCATGGATGGGCGTGATGAAAGTTCTCGATTCAGCGCCGTCGCTAAACCCGACTTGGACTTTTCTTTTGTACAATTTTGTCAAATTTATTTCACATAATGAGAAAAATAACTAACGAAATTCAATCAATGGGCATCTTCAAGTTTGAGCATGTAAGTATTCTGTACGCTTTTTGAAGTGGCTGTTGTTGTGCGTCTATGGAACCGCGTTAATAGCGAATTTTTATTTATCTTCAATGGTTTCCTAGTAAGGTTTGCTCACAGACAGAAAATCTTTAAACAATCTATTTCATGCGAGTTACCGCATCTTTTTTAATGTAGTTCCTTAACAGAGGTTTGCAGGTATGAATAGTCTATTATTATGTATCCTGTTTTACCTCTCAAATGGTCCAGCTCGCAGTTTCTGCGGACCAATTTCTGTTTGTTTTCTATTTAAATAAGTGCGTCACTGCTTGACTGTGGAAAAGTATTCATAACTGTAATAACATAAAAAATAACATAAAAACGAATATGTTTTTACCACTGCTGCTGGTCGCTGCGTACACCGCATCGTGCCTTACTACTCGATGCGTTTGCATTTGTTCGCATAACTAAATAGAATTGTTTCTCGAATGAATGATCTTTGCAAACAAATTTCTTTCAAACCTCAGGTAGAACCGATAAGTGTGTTAAGTAAGTCAGCAAACTGTTACGTTATTTATTACGTAACTATTGCAAGACCAATGTGTATAATACATACAGTCCTGTAATATGGTATGAAAAACGCAATGCGTTCATCAATCTTGGTTGTTCGCCTCAGGCTGTTCGAAGTGTCCAAGGGTATACTAGAGAGAATCCGCAACGGATGTTTAGCCGGTTATTGACGTTACAGCAAAGAATGGCCCGAGAGCCTCTAGGCTTCGTTCCTGCGCGAAGCTGTCGACTCGTACACGATACCTTGATAACGGACACACCAAATGATATATATATATATATATATATGTAAAAGTGTTCATGTAAACAGTCTGGGATTTAAAACAAATAGTGATTGCTTGGTTTCTTCTACTTCACCTCTTGCTGTAAGTACGTAAATTATGAGCAAGTAAAGAGAGTTATCTATGTGTTATATGCTTGAGATCTTGACGTAAATAATGGCGTCTTTATTATAGTGTGTCAAGCTTCGGTTTGCTGTTATAAATAGGTTTGTTTTATAAATAATAATATGTAAATTTGATAATATATCTATAAAGCAGTATTAAACATAACAACTAAGTTGTGTGATGATGACCGGTTGTATTGCATAGACAACTTTACATAAAAGCTATTCTATAAATATATTCAGTAGAAGCCGACTTAAGAAAATATGAATCATACTAAAACATGAATGTACTGCACTAGTCACAAACGCGATAATGAAAACGAAAGCAGGGCAGAGAGACTGCATCGTTAACGGTTATAATCTTCCCCTCAAGCGTAGTGACCATGTTTGAGAGACAATATGGAGAAATCTGTGAACTGCGAATCGAGTTCCAACACGTTGTGTGCTTCTTCCACTCTCTTCAAGCGCAATTCGTTATTGCACCAGCTCTGTAGAAATCCGGGTATGCGTCGTAACTTTTTAATTTATATTCCCTAGTGAACTGTTTTTAGGCCTGTATTTTGTTCGAAGCGAACCGTCGCTTCAATTTCTTAAAAATTACTGTGTCTCACAGAGCAAAGACGAATCCATTTCTATCTGAGATATTGAGACCCAAAATACTCTTAGGTTTGATTAATTTCTTTTTCAGGTTAGATTGATCTCTTTAAGGTCACCAATAGTTGCTGGAGATGATGCCGACCCGTAATAAGACAAAATCGTAAACGACTAATAGGTGTCCCTTCGAATCGAAGATCATTTGTAACTGCTGGAATTGATGTAACTGCTTTGGATCGCCGTTATTATTTGTCCAGGTCGAGCTCAGCCACCTTGCCGTGCAGAACGATTTCCTTTACCTCGGGTATAGACGGCTTTACTTTTCTAAATACTTCCACGACGTTTTGAGAATAAAAACTCAACATTTCTAAGAGCCGTGGCAAATGTGCATTGCGAGCTAACATATACTGTGTACAGGTGCTGCCGCACGACTGTTAGGGCTGTTCTACATTTTTTTAGGTATATAGAACTACTAGAGTAAGTGAACTGTTGCAATGGCAAGCCGCGCTCCTACCAGACATAAGCGTTTGCGAACCAGGATAGAAGTTCGCAATTACAGCATTTTTAGCTATGCCCCTTCATATAAAAGACTCCAATTTAAGGATATCACAGTTTTCGTCATTCTACGCAAAACGGCCATTTCTCGAACAAATGATATACACATATATATATATATATATATATAAAGAAGACGTCTAGCTTGGTGATGGGAAAGGGTCGATTATAAATGCTCGTTGTGAATCAAATCGGGATCGTCAGCTTTGTTCCTCCGGAGTTCCTCGATGGCTGCCATCACCTCTAGCTTTTTCAAGTGCGCAATGTATATCAAGCGTTTATTGATCTCGTACAGCTTGGCGAAGTATACAATTGCAGAAAAAAGTATCTTGACTGGCCAGCGTATCCTTGAACTGTTGAATGAAGAAGGTCGTTTCGACTAAACATGCTGTTTTTCAGATTTGCAGATGTATTTGTAACCACAAACCTTTCTCATAATCGTTGCGGGTCTTATCGAAGCCTTAAAATCAGTGATTAATAGTGTCTTATTAATGTTTAGCGACTATAAAAGAAAATGAGCTCGAAAAGCCTGTGTGACAACAACACTAGTTTGGCCATTATTCTGTATGCTATTTGGCTGAACAGTAATTGGAAAACTTGATCGTAGCCATTCCAAGCATTACATTTAATGAACGTATATATTTTAATTGACTGGTGTATCAATGTAGAAGTTTCAGCTACTGGAGAAGTTTGAGATACGATAAAAAGTAAATAAATGGACTGTACATTAAGATTTATATATATATATATATATATATATATATAAGGTTCCTTAAAGTTAAACGTTGCTAGAGTTCCTAGAACGGAGGCTACAAAGGTCTGCTCTACCAATAGGCGGTACAGTTGGACCCATACAGCAGCACCATTCTCTCTAGATATAAAAATATGCTGTCAGCCAACCGTATTTAATATATTTACACTTACCTCGCAATAAAAGCGTACCCTTATCCTCACGTGGTGTTCGAACCAAAATTCTATTTTTTCTCCTTCCGTTCCTCCTGTTAACTTTGTTGTCTTTTTACATTTTATCAAGTTTTAATGTTCAAGTTTCTGCCACATTTTTATTGCTAAATTTTAAGTGGCGAAATTATTCAAGTTATAAAATGCATTTTACCTAAAAATGAACCAGCACTTGTTGATGCTTAAATGTCTTCTTCTAGAATTCTGTTGGAAAAAAAAATCTACTTCCTTATGATCCTAAAGTGACATGAACTTTCCTAGCGTATCGTTTTTTCGAGCCGCTTTGAAAAAAAAAATACAGATTCCCAAGATCCTCAACTATCGAATCTTGGCGATATAACATGCGTCACTTGTGCTATAATGTATGTAGTGCTATATTTAATAGGTTAATTAATGGCTCATTGTGACTAAACATTTTTTGGGCATATATTATATTATAAACATAACAGACTCAGCGTTAGGTGACCTATCATGCACTGCTGTAACGTAGATCAATAAACTACATAGTCACCGCCCTGTGTTCAAGGGCCCATACACACGACGCGAATGAATCCCTAACAACGCTTAACATTGAAGTACCGATATTTCATTTTTATTATTCATTATACAATGCTGCTCACGGTTTTTTTTTTTACTGATTTATCATCATATTCACTGCTGTAGCTTATTTTTGCAATACTTGGGGAATTCGTTACAGAATTACATTTCCTTTTTTCTTGGCGGTCATTATTTTAAAATATTATTATAATAATAACAACTTCAGTTGTTATTATAGTAGTTACCGTAATAATTATTCATACCGCTGTATGTACAGGATACACGTTTTTGTCAAGTATTGTTATGAATATTACTATTGTGGTCTCGTTTTTCGAAGCTTTTCCAGCTTCACGAAATCAGCCTCATCTCGTATGAACTTGATAGATCATGCTCTCTTTTTCGGTTTTTTTTTTTCTTTTTTTTTTTTGCAGTCTCTTATCGTTACGCGTGGATTTACTAGAGACCGTAGACATTGTGACTTATTTGATAACTTAGTTCCCGAATCGTCGTCACCACCTGCCATTTGCTTCCATCCATATTTTTCTACTCTAATACCAATTGTTTCCACTGCTTGTTCAGCGCGTTTTTCATCTTCATCAGAGTACTCGCCGTTAATGTCATATCATTTATTAGTCATTCGCGTACCATGTATCGTCTCGACACACGCACAACCATACGCTGTGATCTGTTAGCCCCTGTGAAATACTGTCATTAAAACACGTGCTTTTCCTAAATCATACAGTTACACTCATACGTTCAATTGGTATCTTTTTCTATCGGGCTAGTTCCTCTTTATTTTCACTATAAACCCCTTTGACTTTCATATGTGTTGCTGCTAATTGCCATTGTATTAGTTATCATAAAGTTTCTTCTCTTTATCTAGTATTTCAGTAACTTTCTCCTCGTGCTGCTACCGTATTTTGAATACTAATTAACATCAATCAGAGAGTGATGTGATTGTTAATCGCTATTGAAAAAAATGAATATAATACTTTTTATTCAGCAACAATTCTCGAATAATATTTAAAATGTGAGAATTTTTCAAAGAGTTTCGTATAATTATTAAATCATTTACCGAAAGAGTCCCTGCGTTTGGTTCTGTTTTTCTCACTTTATTAAAGGAGACGAACGCATCATTGGTCATATTATCAATACGACTGTTAATATCATCGTAAACACAGTTATTATCTGCTGCTGCTGCTGCTGCTGCTACTCAAGGTACTCTCAGTGAAAGCTGTCCTCCTGTTTGTTTTTATTCTATTCTCTTCTGTCTATACCTCAATATTCAACACGATTCTTCAGCATTTTCGGCGGTACCACATGGAGTCCAATCGTCCTACGCTGCGAATAGAGCTCTATTAATGTGTCTCGTTTGTAACATTATTTAGCCACGCCAGCAAGATAAGGAAAATTATCCAAAATCATAATAATTTTCGGTTATCAGGTTTTTTTTTAATTTTTTTTATCAATTAGCAAGTACTGTTCGCTAACTTCTTTTTTTTTTTTCGTTAAAAAATAAGATGTAACTACACTTTTTAATTGACGCTCTCACGTGGTCTTCAATATGCAGTACAACATATCGTCTCTTTAGCAAGACCGATGTTGTCAAAGATATCGAAAGTGTATTCTCATGACCGATTTCTATGCGTTGGTCGGCGATGTTCATGGTAGCAAAGGAAGTCTGAGAGTATCGTCCGCTACAATCCTCAGCACATCATTGATCTTCACTAGCTGTAGCAAGCATCGCTTTGATTGAGCAGGCTGCTTCCACGTTCAGGCCAAAGACGCAGAAAAAAAACAGGTGCACATATAGTTGATGTGTAAGGCACTGTGGGGCCAGATAGGCTAGTTGGTGCGGTAGAATACGCCACGCCCGCCGCGAATGCTTGTATTGGTGATGGTTGGCAGAAGTACAACGAGGGCAAGAAGTCCGCACGAAAGCATCTTTACTATTAAATCCGACTGTTCTTTTGGGCTGCCGGGAATCAGCGAAAGGATGTTTTCAGCAGTCTGATTATAGCTTGCCGGGAGAATAATTCTGGAAGTTCAAACACATATACAAAATTTCGACCGCAATTTCAATACATACAGATAACTTCGATGATACTTTAAGCTTGTAAATATTTTCCAGGTCCTTCAAATGAGTTCGCCATCAATCTGTAAAGGGGCAACCATCGACTCCCGTGCTCAATCCAAACTTGAAATTTGCATAGTGTAGTTATAAAAATAAGCAAAGATAAAAATTGATTCTATTTTTTGTGTTGAAAATGAAATTAAAATTAAGATCAAGTGGTTTGATGATCTGATTATGTCAACTTACTGATCACTCTGAGCCTCGATGAATCCTGTAATGGCAGTACAAGCAAACATCGCAAAAATGACTAGTCCACACGAAGCGTGAACCGGCACCAATCGTTGACGAAGCGAAAACGATCGTCGACGGCAGCACAGCAGTAACACGAAGCAGAACAAAGCGAACACCAGCTGCAAAAATTCATAAATTAAATCATGACAAAGTACCATCCAGGACAAAAAAAATTCAAAACCCAGAAAAACATAAGAATGCTTAGTTTGGTTTTCAGGTGCCGCGAGAAATCGACTAACTTTCATTTATAAAATGAGGATCAAATGTCCAACAGCGATGTCAAATTTAAAATTCGAAACATTTAGGACGAAGGCTATATACATTATCCGATTGCGCCCCTTGAGAAATTCATTTGAAAACCATGTCGAATTGAGCAAATTTTGTGAATCACAGAAATAATGATAATCTGCCCAGTTTTTTGGTCTTGGTGGTTTTGGTTTGCCCAGATCTGGTTTTTACAAATTTAGATCGTATTGATCTATGTATGTATTGCTGAAACCTGGTATCTACGGGAAACGTCTATTTCCGTCGGGAAGAGACGACGTACTAGCTAAAACTACAAAATGCCACGATCAAAACGCTTTGTTTTAAAAACCTGAGAAACTCATGATTCTAAATCAGTATGCGTGGAGCGAAATCAGCAAATAAATTAAACTACTAATAATGTACGGATTTTTTTTGCTTAGTTGTCTGGTCGAATTTCCCGTAGCTGCCCGCGGCAATAGCTTCGACGCTCGTTCTGTAGTAACTTCGAATCGTATATCTACGCAAGAGTGCCATTTCGAAATAATTCATCCTGTTATCTTATCATGTATTACGTTATATTACCTGAAAAACGAAGAGTCCGCAGGTTGCTAACGCGAGCCAGGTATGCACTGAACGAAAGTGCGCTACAGCCTGATTATGAGTGTGCATAAAAGTCACATAGAAACCTACTGTGATGCATGCTGTTCCCAGCAACTGAAGCAGCAGGTGAACGAATCGTGCGTACGATCGCTTGCAGCAGTCAAATACGCGAAAGGAAAGTATTGCCTGCGATGTAAGACAAGATCAAACAGCGCAGAGAGGCCGGCGAGGTTGTAACGCAGGCCGCCGTTGCATGGAAAATAAGAAGAACGAGTTAGGAGAAGTGCAACATATCGACACAAATGCATTCGGCAGGGCGACGCAGCGGAGCAACGAAAAAGTTACGGCTGCCTTTACATGTTCTGCCCGTAGGGGATACATATATGTCACATAGAATTAAAACATTGTTCGTGCTGTTTGAGCATGACTTGTTAGAATATATTTGTTGAACAGATAGTGCGTAATACGTAAAAAGGTATCGCTATCTTCCACACGCACTTCGGCCACGGTAAATCGACACCGGGTCTGTAACGAGTCTACAAAATGTAAACAAGTGCCCTGTCATCGAAGCCCATATGACGACGTTAGGTGCCATATTACCCACATCATATCATTCAGACTATCGCGATTTGTTGATCAATTTGATATGTAATTAATCTTTACGAACTACAGAATCGCAGTGCCGGTTTAAAGGCAGAATATGTAACCCTTAATTCTCTGAAAGTATTGCTCCTCACAGTTACCGGGGGATCACATGACAGTTGCTTTTCAGGATCGGCCAGGTTGCATTCGGGGTCTTGTAGGTATGAAGGTCTTCAGAGAGCTTACGAAGCTTAATGCTTTGCACTTGCTCGTTTCGTTAGAGTTTCTCCGCTTCTCTCTTCTTCTCCGTCTCCCACACCCCAGGCCTCTTACTAGCCCCAGTAGTCCTTCGGGATCTTTGCGAACTAAAGCCTAAAAGGACGATTTAGCAGACCGACCGACGGTCAGAGACAGTCGAGTCTTCCTTCTTTCAATCGACTCAGTCGTTGTTAGCTTTTGTTCCTCTGAGCGCAAACTCAATTACATCTAGAAACGCTCTTTTCCTGCCGCTGCCGACAAGTCTGTTTCGGCTCACTCCTTTTCAGTTTAGGTAATGGGAAGCTATGACGACAACGACGGACGCGCTTGAAAACATTCTACAAAGTGCGGTAAAGGCGCGAGTCAAAACACTAAACACAGTATAAGTCCTTGCCATAATCATCCCGAATGTAAATGGCTCGATCAACTGTTTTTAACTAAAAAACGAGTTGTCCATTGATTTTAAAGTACAGGGCTTACGAGGGTGTAGCACACAAGAACGGAATAAATTCTGTTTATATCTGGATAATAAAATTGATTTGGCAGTACGGCATTAGCGTCGCACTCTCAAATAACAATACTCCCGACATATTAGTTAATTAAACTAGTGGTTTAATTTCTGTTTCAAAGATTAGAACTCACTATTTAACATTCAAAGTATTCGTTGGAGTCCGATGCAAACTAAGGAAGGTGGTAATATATGAAGCGAGCTCCCTAAATGGCGGTAATCACTGACAAAACGATTTGCAAATACATTTTCTAATGTGCTTTAATATCTGCATTATATTATTACGATTCCTGTTATTTGCAATACAGACGACGCCATCAACGACCTCGCTCGCCCAGTTAACAACCTGCCGCCAACGAATTCTATGTTAGTGATCCTGCTACGCAGACGTACAAATACCCACTTCCTGTTCCGGCAGGTGATGCAGCCTCATTTTTGGCAGCGTCAAGCTGGAAAATCAAACACTTGTGCTACAAAAACCAGTAACCGGTGCTCATTAAAGCTGGCTGTAAACACATGGGCGAATAAGTGGCAAGCACAACGAACATAAAATCCCGATACATATGATCTTAACGCCACACCACAGCAAAGATACGAGAAAGTAAATGCTATAATTGGAGAACAATCGTCTTGTTTTAACGCATTCAAGCAAAGCAAAAATAATCGACCTGCTGCCGAAGAAAACTAACTATATCTATATTTTCGCAGCGACTTAACTGTGAGATGGCAATTCTCTTCGTGTTGCTAATACTAGCACAGTATTTCCGCCAAGGTCCATGTGCTTTGTCTAATGGCAGTACACACAAACATAAGTCGAAACACGGAGGGCTCATACACGTATACACTATTTAGTGCAGAGCAATACTCTCAGCACTCAGTTGTAACTACCCGGGTCTATATTTGTTGCCAATTATTCAGCTTAAAGGTAGACTCAGCATAATCAATCAAGCACCACTACAGTGACTGCCCTCATGAAGCCAAGGTTTAAGAAGCGGCAAATATATATTGATGAAAAAATATGACTCTAACTAAGCACTAGCTAAAGTGAAATTTGTTTTTGCTTTTGTCGCAGCTGGTCTAACAGGGGAAATCATTTTGTGCCTGAATGACTAAGAGTAAAGTTAACAAAGAGCAGAAGAGGCTACAGTTTCAGGCCGCGTGCCCTCTTTTTACGGTGATGTCTTAATTCATTCTGTTAAAGTGAAGCGGCCTCCCCAATTCAAGAATGGAGCCTCCCCTGAAAAAAAATCGACTGTAGGGTCCATTTGGTTAGAATAGAAAAGGAGCAGTAGGGGTCATATACAACGCAGGCATTGGCTCAAGCAAAGCTTCTACGACCAACGCTTACAAAGGCTCCGGCTCAGCGTATTCCAAAACAAAAACAGTAAGTATTAATTGCAATTAAAATTACAATGCCGCGGAAATGATTGCTTTTTCTGGACCTGTCGTGACGATGTCCTAATGAATCAGCCGTAGCAAGTCATGTGTCTGTCGTGTTCAGCTGCTATGGAGGCATCAACTCGTCCTTTTCCACGTCCTACAATATACGTGAATAAGAAAGGTGATATGTTTGAGTTATACACGACATAATGCAGACTAACGTGGGAATTCACGCGGCTGATTGTACCTATTGATATAATTGCTTCATTTTCACCTAGTGCAAGAAGGATGCGGGTGTTATGGTGGCCATATATGAGATAATAGTCCAACAGAGAGTCCGATAGACTTTGACGAGCTTTGGGCATTACCCCGTTTACTTTTTTCTTATAATTAAACCCTTTAAAATATTAAAGTGCATACAATAAAGCACTTCAGCAGTTGACATAGGTTTTTTGTAAATAAATTGTAAACTGTGTAAAGCCTTGTCCAATAAAAGAGCAGGTAAGTAGGGAACGATCACTGGTTTCTTATACTCAAACTACCTGTTACCCAATGCTTTGATTTGCACGCTCCGCGTGGAAACCTTGAATGAGTCTATGGTTTTCTTAAACTGCGACGTGTAGCCGTCAAAAGCATTGCTGACATTCAGTCATATGACATAACCGTGGTACAAACTAACAATAGCATTGGTATCGGTAAACCATAATAGTCACATAAATGACTACAGTAATGTATATTGCTGTCCTATATATAAATGTATATTCGCGAGTTGGGGGACGAACGATAGCCTGGCGATACCCATAGCACTACGTGGCGCCATAAATTTTTAGACAGACAAATGTGGCTAGACAAACGGAGGTAGCACTGACAAGCAATGCGATAGTGAGCGCACAGAGTAAATAACCAAGAACCGTCAGCCGCAAAAAGCTCTTTTGACGTCCGCCAATAAAATATGCGAGAATCACGGAGCAGCGTAATACAGCTCTTATTAGAACCTAGCAAAACTATTTTCCCATAGATGGTACTGTGTATGCCATAGAAACCGCAGTTATGCAAGAGCATACGCGAAGCGGTAGTCTACAGGGAGAACGTATCAAAAAAAAAACGCAGGAAGAGAGAGACACAGAGAAGAGGAGATTTGAGGCGGCTTCCTTGCTTCGGTGGCCTTATGGTCAAGCAATACGGACAGCGGAAGTAGCGAAAAACGCAGAAAGAGTACAAATGCTATTCGAAGATATAAAATTGTTTTTATAGCGGTAGATGATGATACTAGCGGCGAAACGCGCAAGCCTACGTCGACAATGACGGGCTGAAACTTTTAGCAAAAGGAGGAACTGGCGAATGTTTTTTTTATCTAGTTGTCTATAGTTTCTCAATTATTTTAAACATTTCGATATATAGCATTATGTAAATCTATAAGGGTAGCATATAAAACAAATTGATCTCATATAGTTTTTTACATTGAAAAAAGCGTGGAGCTCCGTAATGTACTCGGTGGTCCGTTGTTCCTCGTTTTTCCTTGACCAAACTATTCCATAGAGAGCACTTCTTAGACCCATAAGTTCAACATAATAAGATATATGAACTTGGGTATAATAAGCATTTTCCTTCATTTTTTACTTTTCGTTTCTATATGGTATAAGTCTCTCTCACTTTCGGTTTATGACTCTGATTGTTATGGGTTGATAGTTACATCTAAGATTTCACATACTGCTGCTGAGGTCGCAGAATGAGTCGGTCTCATTTGAACACATTCACTTTTCACTGACATAGACCTTTGCCGGCTATGGGATTCGGCAACTTATGAAGCTTTCCAAGTCACGAGTGATAACTCGGAAGGAAGCTGTGGAATATTTGCACCTAATATATTCAGTACTGAGAACTTGGGTAATTCCGATCAGTTAGTGAAGTTCCTACAAAGCGAGTGGCCGTATTGACTCATTGATATGATGTCAATTTCCGCAGATCTCCAACGGTGAACTGCTAGAACAGACGAATTGGTTTATTAAATTGTCTATAGTTTTTTGAGGCGCCTTGAATTTAACGGGGCAAATATGGGCTATATAAATTTGTCCAATAGAAAAAAATCAAAATATTAAGCATGCATTTTTACGTACGCATAGAAATGCTACAAAACTTCAATAGTGTTACTATTGTTATTACAGATTTTGCCTTTGAATTGCAAAAGTTTGCTTAAATGTAAGGAGGCAAAGTAAGCCACTAGTTTTTTTAGCACAGTTTCGTTGCGTTCAAAGCAAACTAAAAGCGAATTTTATTCAATGGAGATCATTTCGTTAGATTACAAGTACAGGATCACTTTGGTTTTATGGCATTATGGGTTAAAATAAGATGGGCTTGCATTTTCGAACATTTATATAATGGCATATTTATTTATAGATAATTCTCTATACCAGAATCATGGTCAGCTTGGTTCCGGAAAAATGGTGCACGTACTACTACAGTTACTCCACACTTATAGAATAATGTTCCTAGATGTTTTAGTATTTTGGTGCCTTTCGACGTAGGAAAACCTCATGACAAGATACGGTAAGATAGAGCATTTGATCACGTTTTCACCCAGTTAAGCTGGCCGTAAATCATTACAAAGTATCGTCATACACAGCTGTGATTATAGCTGTTTCTTGGAAATCGAATATTCTTCCTCTAGCTTTGCTGAAAATCATGAATGATTCATATAGTCCCACCTTGCAGGATCATATGAACTATAATACCATAGGTCTTTTTCTTCCTTTTTCTTTTTTTTTTTTTTTGAGAAACAGTAAATAGTCGTGAGGGCCATCTTATGCTACGAGATAGGGAAGCCGGATGACCATACTGGTGTAATATTTTTCCGTGGCAACAGTTCGCTTGAACGGTCTAGTCGAGTAAATTTTTAGCTTACATCCATAACCCTCAGCGCTGAAGAAAAGGCACCGCTACCGGAGTAGGCAGCTATTACTCGACAGGGATTCAGGTAGTCACAGGAGCGCAGCACATAGATGCCATTCCTCCAATTAGTTCGAACAAAATTGTAAGCCTTCTTCTCAAGGAGAACATTACACTGATAACGATACGAAGCGATTCTTTATTATCAGTCGTAAAGAGTACCACTCACGATAGCAACTGACTTGTAAGGCTAATTTCTAAAATGCTGTTAACCATCACATACTCCGCCGATACATTTTTTGTGTCAGATTGTAGGTTAAATTATGTATTGGTAAACGCTGACAAAGCTAATGTATATATAATAGTAAGGCGTTAAGGAAACGCCACATCCGATAGAATTATTTCATTTTCATCATCACAGACTACTCAGACATTTTACTAAAGATCTTCGTTAACGTACCTGGCCACAGAAGAACACGAACCCGATAATCATGAGGATGATGTGCAAGTTGAACTGAAGGAGCGGGTCCTTTTCGATATCGATACCACCTCGGAATTTGAATACCCAGTAAACAGTGAGCGCAACAACGCCGAAGATGATTAGCTGGCTCGAGAACAATGCCAGGCCGAGCAGGCAGGACACGAATCCCGAACAGCATCCGCCCTCTTTTTCCTCCATCGGCTCCATCTCGCGATGAGATGAGGTTTTCCTATGAAAATCGACAACAGAAATCAATTCAGCTATTACTATTATTGCTATTAAAACAAATTAACAATAAACAGAGCTAAATAGAACGTGATTGTTACGGCCATCACAATGTGCCCTCAAGCACCTGTTTTTCCGTCCACAGAGGTTACTTGTAAGCATTATTCAGCCTTCTTTTTTCGTTTGTTACAAGTCGAGCCAACCACATGAAATGTTCTTTTTGCATGAAAATCGATACAGATATAGAAAATGTACTTAAACCGATGTCACCTAATTGAAAACTACCATTCTATCACGATTCGAGGGTAGACGAATGGTTTGGCTGACTGCCTTAATTACTACAGGTTAATATTGCCATTAGCACTGCTAACACAAAATTGATACGTAAAAGAGACTGGTTTGTCTACCGTCTATAGTACCACTCCGTCTTGGCGACAGCAGCGATTCCTCTCGGGTCGTATAGTCGTTACGTGTAGACTGTAAACTTTCGTACCACATAGCGATTCCGGCTGCTAGTCTATAAGCAAATGACTTTTCCTGCTGTTTCGGCTGGTCTGAAGGGCTCCTTGGTATCAGTTATTCGACCCTAGAAGCCAACAGATTGTTATCGTATAACGGGTAACCAACCTCCCATAGCGCAACGATGGAAGCATAAAACATGAGCGCAACTATGTCGTAGTACAAGTCCACAGTTGATACACTAATCTTTTTCATATCTCTAAACATCAGTGCAAGCGTACGATACCTGTTGAATTCACGCATGCACTATGCATGAAGCATTTATACGGAATAGAAGTAATCGCCGAATACAGCCGATTTCTACATGTTCGACTCGGTTTTTGTACGAGCAGGTGGTGGTAACCATAGGCCAACAATGAATTCTACAAGGACCACCGGCTTTGGTTCCTCCGTCAGCGTGATGGGGCAACACATGTCGCACTTTTACTGTCTTTCTATCTCTACGCGCCTATCCTGTATGCGTAAGTTCGTCATCTACGTTACATTATGCTCTTAACTAAGCGTTAGGTTATGGAACTCAGCTGCCGATGTCGCAGTTAACGTGCCAATATAACCAATGTTCTAAGCTATCGTCAACGTTCTGAGTTTGTTGCCAGTTATCAAGACAGCCATGGTTCTTGCTAGCTAGAACGTCACGCCGAGTTAAGCTAGCTATGATTAGTCCGCCGCCGTAGTCATCTTTGCCGCACCTCTATTTTCTGTGATTAAGCGTTCGGACGCACACTCACATATCCGTGCGTTTATGCTTTTTTGCCTCACTTTGTCCATTGCTGTTTGGCGCATCAGCTGGCTTCCGAGGCCGACGGCCGTGTACTCGGTATCAGGCCGACTTTGCAACATGTAAATAGCGTCAAAAGTATTATCTCTTTTCTATAAGGGCAACTGCACTGGCAACAGGAGCTAACAATTTGACGTCCTGGGCGAATCGCATGAGGAGGCACAGATAAACAGACGGCAGCGTAGAGTTGACTGCGTTCAACAGCCGCTGAAGAACTTAATAGCCACTTGGATACGTATCTACGTGACAGAAAGTGGGCTAATGGAATAAGTTCCGATGTAACTGCTACTGTATCAGTCGTGTTGGACGAAACGGGGGCAGAAAAACATGGATTCCGTCAGAACTGGTCATTCGCATCCATAGTTTGTTGCTATTCCGAAACTGAGCAACGCCCGAGGGCATGAGGGTACTAGCAACTACCGCAGCCGTCTATGCCATCCATCATATCTTGCTTAGACATCAATGACATGCCTCCAGCATAGAGATGTCTGTGTGCGCGTGTGTGTTTGCGTACGGGCATAAAAGCATAAAAGGCTGGCAACTCCAATAGCCGGCAGCCAGTGCTTCTATATATATAAATCGGGCTCCTATAATGCCTTCCATTCTACTACACGCACATACAGATGCGGCACTTCGGATAAATGCGCGACATACATTGGCATCGAGGATGAAGCTGCCCTCGTAGTCTTCCTAAAGTTTGCTAAAAGACAGTTTCTGCATTTGCGTTCGGGGGGCAACACAACGGAAACACACAGAGGGCAGAGTAAAAGTCCGACGCGGTTAATGAAGAGACATATTTGTAAATGTTGTGTGCGCTATAATCTTGCACAGGGCCACATCAAACGAGCATCCACTGCTAGGCTTACTTCGTGTAGTGTAGCTCCCGCAGTTGAAGCTATAATGCTGAGGGTCCTGTGATAATGAACGAGATAAACAAATTCGAAAATGCCGCCACATTTAGATTGGTGCGTCGTCGGACAGGTTTTCAAATAATTGTCTCTATGGTCCTAGGGTGGTACCAGATTATTCTTGATGCGGCTAATGCCACTTCATTTTGAACACCAGCCGTCAACCAAACACCATAAGAAGCACGACACCAAAAAAAAAAGAGCATCGGCTGTAACGTGACAACTCAGATGGAATACTAATACATAATCATTTACCAGCCATCACCTCTATGCGGTTAGCACGCTCATTCGTTTAAGTTGTCACGGTTCTTTTTGGTATAATTAGGACGCGTGCTCTGCTCATTATTGAATGCTTATTATTATCATGGCCATAACCTTAATAAGCCCTCTAAGAGATTTCTACATTGGCCACCATATATCATGTGCTTACACAAATGCAATCAGAACGACAGAGGAGGAGGAAACAAACAGAAAAACCAAACTAGCTTGTGGCAATATATGTGAACATGGCCATAACGCGGAGACGTGGCTGTAGGAAGCAATGACGAGTTAATTACCTCAACTGAAAAAGGCCGGCACAACTTTTTGCCGACCGTTAAAACATGAACCAAAAACGACAGTAGAAACTGACTTGGTTATTCTCCCCCAATGAGGTAACGGTAGGTGAAGTCGAAAAGATGAACACGAGAAGTTTGCAAGCGCGTGTGTGCAAAATTCCTCTAAATATCTAATTATCACAACATACTATACTATATATTGGTCGCCACTTGCGGTGCTCAATATGGTGGATATTCACCGTTTTCAGTCAAATCTTTCGGCGACGGATCACATTCGACACATCATAGCCACGTGCGTACACATGCCCCGACAAACGTAACTCCCACATAAGGCATTGCACGCTCATGCGCTCCCTGTCAAAATAGCGACAGAGGTTTTCTCTTTTCTTAGTGCGCCCCGGGAATCAATGTCGGGCTCTTGCAGCATCTAGCGTTGATCTACTCGAAGTAATTCGGCGTACGAGTGAACCCTATCCGCTATGATAAAGTTCGCAAAAGTAGTCGATTTCGCGCTTCTTCGTATGCTTACCAAACGCATGGCTTCAGATCAGGCTTCATCGCGAGCAATGCCCATTTAGCACACGCAAACCGTTTGAACTGACAGTTCGATTGCTCTATATCGACAAAAGAACCGCTCAGGCTTTCTCTGAAGGAAAACAATCATATGGTTGTACTCTGGAACCTTCCTACATAGTCGTTTCCCATGCACGCGAGTTGAACCATAGCAACGAGGCTCTCGCAGGTCGGCCGACCACCAACGGTTTTCACCCAGACGTTCAAATTCTTCGACCAGCTCTTTCGGCCGAGCCAAAATATATACATCTATAAACGGGGTACGCTGAAAGTCAATCGGTATAACAATGATCGCAATAAAGAGCAGATTCAACTGGATCACAGAAGTTTTATGATATCATTTTTATAGTTCTCATAATACAACACCACAAGCATATTACGGTGCTGTATAATGAACGCGCAATTTTTCAAATGTTCAACGATCTTATCGAACGTATTGAATGTGTTATATGTGTTTGCATATATTTGTAGCCGAATATTTCCGCTCCTCCCAGATTAGATTCTAACAAGTCTATAGACCAAGCATACTCGAAAGTTTATGTGAAATTCGTCCTCTCCATATAACTTGTTCTGTTTTAATTGTGTCTGAACCGAAATAGTTGTTATTGCACAGCCTGCACTAAAAATTAGCATTCTACTTCAGCGCCACTGGAATGGGAGACAAAGG